AACGAAAATGAAAATTTGCTTGATAATTCAACTACGCTTGTTGGAGAACAATAAAAACACTACACTCAACAAGCCATCAATAAAACTCAACTGCCTAACCTATAACCAAAGTCTCCTTTTAATTTGTTTTTAAAAAAAAGTGCTTGACAAACTTGCTTCGCATGCCGAAGTTGCCCGGTCTCCCCTATATATATATGATAAATGTCTAACATACTACAATTCAGCAAAACATTAACGAATTATGTAACCGATGGTAAAGAAAAAAATGGGAAAGATTGAAATGAATGGAGGAAATATTTTGTTTCAAAAGTTTAAAAAATCAATGAGGATTCAGTTTGTGATATATGCTAATTTTAAATGCCTAACTATGAAAATAAAAACATGACAACCAGATCCATCTAAGTCTTATGCAATGAAATATCAGTAACATAAACCAATGAATTTTTCTTATTACATAAAGTATCTACATAAAGACTACAAGGAACCAGTTGTATACAGAGAGCCTGACGCAGTAAAAAAGTTTGTAGAGATGTTAAAAAACAAACTTGAGGAAAAATTAGTAAAATATATGAAAACAAAAAAGAAATGGTTATAACTAAACAAGAAGTAAAACATTTTCAAAATACTAATACCTGTCAAATATGTGGTGGGGAGACGTATAAGGAAATAATAGATGTGAAGGTATATGAAGATAAAGTTAGAAACCATGATTATTTGAGATCAAAATATAAAGGACCAGCACATAGTCAATGTAATTTAAATTATGAAAACCCTAACTTTATATTAGTATTCATTCATACTCTAACTAGCTATGATGCCCATTTATCTGTTAAGGAACTCCGATACGATAAAAAGTGTTACTTAACACAAAGATATACAGTAAACCCGAGTTTCCCACTACTCGAGTAGAGTGTGCCACGGTTTTCATGACTCTTAAACATGTGCTCTTAATCATTTATGTTTTTTTATGCATCATACTGTGGGAATCTCTCTCGATTTAACATGCTAGGAGAGCATGAAATCCATTGTCAACGATAGATTACTGTGGGCAACAGCTTAGTTATTTTGAGAAACAGGATAGGTAGAGTACCTTTACGGAATGATTCAGGTTTACGTGATGTTGTGCTACAACTGTAAGTTGTACTTCCCACTTTACTGTTATTGTTTCCCTCAATTTCTTAAGAATTAGTAGAAATGTTTAATTCTCGGGATAGCAAACTATGAAACATTTTTCTATAGACTACTGGCAGCATGCAATTACAGTCTTTGTTGTTATATGATGCGAACCAAATGTTTCTAATGGTGCAGCTTTTTGACAGTCTAGCATGTTGTCATTCCAATTCTTACTGCTAACACTGGTTGATGATATCCACATGTAACATGTACATTTACATGTACATATTGTAATCTATGAATCAGCCTCCTTTCATATTATATAGCTTTTGCACGAAGTTATAAACGGGTTCACAAGCAGATTCCGAATTTACGCCCTATAACATAAAGAAACCATTTACTATGGACTTAATATCATCCGACAGACCTCAGGCTAGTGATAAATTTCAGGCTTTCAATTACTGTTAAAACACTAATGTTTTGGTGTGACTAATATTTCAAAGTGAAAAGTCTTATTGATGTTTCTAACATCTAATAGTAGCAGTTTGCATTAGGTAATCCTACCTGGAGGCATTACCATGGCAGATGAACCTTACTTTGAAATGTCTTAATTTATTAATTTGAATTAAAATTTTTTTAGACTAGAGAGAAAGAATCTTTTTGAAGTCTATTATCCAAAGTAGCCACGTTTAAATACTACGCATCCAGCCCACTGGTAAAACGCGAACCCGATAACAACTACCAGTTTTTAGAGTTTCATCTGCTTGGTCACCAGTGGGCTGAAGGTATTTCTCTGAATATGTTCCATTTCTTAGAGTATTAAATAATGCAGACTTTATCGATGTTACTGAATAAAGCTGACAAGACTATATTAAACTATTTTCTTATATATTCGAGTAATGCCTTACACATAAGCTACTCATAAGTATATGACGATTTGAAATTTCATAAAAATAAACTGTTCATATACAACATTTCTCACAGTAGATGCAAAAACTCAACCCAATTTACAAAATACGGTTTATTACTGGATTTAGTAAATTTGTTGTAGATACATTCGAAAATAATATCTTAATGTTAGAAAAAGTTTTCTAGCAAAAATCCTAATCTTAAAACGAGACTTTAAAAATGGCTAACATCAAGTGGTGATTCTGTAAACAACCTCTAGAAAGTAAGAAATGCTACTCAAAAATCAAAAATATCAAATTAGTTAAAATATCTCTGAACTATCTGTTATACCTACTGAACAGCAATACCTTTACAAAACATAAAAGTTTATAAATAATCTTTCCTTAATAAAAGTACAATAAATAATACAAGTTAAAAAAAATTACTTTACTTAGATTTATTAATATAATATGAGGTAAAAATACAAAAAAAAACAGAATTATTTATCAAATTATTACACAAACAAACAAGTTACGTTTACAATATTTCAAAAATATATATATATTTTTTAATTTTAGATTTCTTCTGACATACGTAATAATTGTAACTTATTGCACTTTGGATTTATTGCAATATTTATTTATCTTATTAAAATTTTCATTTTACATAATCTGAAATCTTATGTTATCCAATTAAATTGTAACTTAAAAAATCACAGATATATCAAACAAGACACATTTTAGGTGAATTATGTTTATATGCATATGCAATATTATCAAGCACATTTTGTAGTTCTTCCACGTCTTTATCAAGTCTCATATCTGGAATAATTTAGTGCTGTATTTACTTTGAATAGAAAGAGTTGTTTATAAAAATATTTATTATAAGAAAATAACATACTAGAACATACAAATAATCTTTAATGTAAAGGATAAAAACACATTTCAGTAATTCACGTGAAAAGTCAGCTTTATTTTTTATAAATTATCATTTTCAATAAAAAGCTAATTTTATATAGTAAACAAAAATTGCAGAAAAATACTTACTATTAAGCCCGTCTTGAACATTTGGATTAGCACTATAAGTAATGAGTACAAAACTTAGCTCCAATTGAAGTATCATGACGAATATCATCTAAATTAAAATAAATCAAAGCCATAAACAATAATTTAATAATTTTTAACATACGAGATAAATATTAATACATTGCACTATTTTTGAAATGTGATTTTGTAATTTTATAAAGTAAAAAAATTTCGCAAAAAAATACTTACTATCATACCAATTTTGAACTTGTGGATCACCACTATAAGTAATGAGTACAAAACATAGCTCCAATTGAAGTATCATGACGAGTATCATCTAAATTAAAATAAATCAAAGCCATAAACAATAATTTAATAATATTTAACATGTGAAATAAATATTAATACATTGAACTATTTTTGTAATGTGATTTTGTAAGTTAAACGAAGAAATAATTTTCAAAAATGTTTATAGAGATGCTCAGATATAGAAATTTTTTAAATACGAGTATTGCAGAGATAAGTATTTTAAAATACGGTTATTGTACACATATCATATACAGAACAAGTTAGTTATTCCATCATATTCGACATTACAATAATACCCTGTCACCTGTTAAACAAAATAGATTAGAAGTTTCAAAGTTTTCTCTTCGTGACTAACAAATTAACAGGTAGTATCTAATGTCCTCCAAAAAGACACTTTATATTTGATCTTCAGAACTGGTATATTACACATCTTACATTCTTGTGTTTGCCGAAGATTTTCTAAGTGGAATGCAATTATAATCATACACCCAACACTTGCTGAGCTTATTATTAATTTACTATTCAAACGCTTTCAGCCTACTTTGAATAGGCCATTTTCAAGAAAGTACTGTTCTACTATCGACTACAAAGCTTTTAAACAATTTTAAAATTTAAAATTTTAACATATTTTTATAATTCTTTACATGAAAACGTAAAATGCTAAATATTTAACCAAAAATATCATATTATATACAATGTAGAATAAACCTATATGACGTATAATATACATTAAAGCAGTTAAAATACAATCTCCACAAGTTTAAGAGTTTTTAATTCCCATTTGTTTCTCTATCAAGTATTTTCATGCTGTTGGAAGAGCATTGGCGTCCTTGGCGTTTAAGCAGTTGATATTTATTTTCCTCTTATATATCTCCATTTTTTCCATACCAAAGTCAATAGTTTGGAAAGGAACAGTTTAATTATCTTTGCCTCATCAAACTTTACACTTGCCCCATCCGTTTGTGCCATGATTGTTAAGATGGTGTTGTTGTGCCATTTACTGATGTCATACATGTGTTCTTTTATACGCACCTCCAAGTTTCTTGTGGTGACACGCACATAATCTTTCGCCACTCCTAATTCTGATTTTCAAAAGGAATTCTATAAACTCCAGCCCTTTCTTTAATTTCTACCTCGTCCTTATCATTCCTTAACAATCTGTAGATGTTTGGCGCCCATTTATACACAGTTTTCGTGTCTTTATACTTACATAATTCCTCCATTATTTCCTCTACATTCTTGTTATATGTAAATGTATTAAATCTATTTTTTCTAACATCCCGTTTGCTTGTCCCTTGTTTGTTTGTTTGTAACCCTTGACCAATCCGTAAATTGTAGACGTTTTGTATCCTAAACTTTTTGCAACCTTCTTGATCCTGTTAATCTCGTTAAGTGGATATTGTATGTTGGTGCAATATAAGGATGCTCTTTTTATAAACGCCTTAAACGATGCCATCTTGTATCTGAACATATCATTAGACCATACTGGAATATATACAGGAACATGTGTGAGTTTTAAATACACCGCCGTTTGTACACATTTTTGCTTAAACTTTATGTCAATGTCCAAAAAATGGATCTGCGTATGGCTTTTCTGTTCCAGTTTTAGCTTTAACCCATGATAATTGCTATTTATCATAGTTAAAAATTTTTTAATTCTTCGTTCATTCTTCCAAATTATCAAAACGTCATCTACATATCTTTTGTATAATATAATGTCTTCTATGGATTTTCCTAGGACCTTTTTTTCAAGTTGACACACCACTAATTCGCACAAGAGTCCCGACATGGGACTACCCATTGGGACTCCTTTTCTTTGTTTGTACACTATCCCATTGAACGCAAAAAAGGATCGGTAACACATTAAATCCGCTAGCTTATATAAGTCCTTCATATACGCTAATAACCCTGGATTATGTTGTACTATAAACTCAATAAGAGCATTGAAACACGACGTTAGATTCATGGAAGGGTACATGCTTTTAAAATCCGTTACCGTTCCCATCTCATTATTCATTAAAACCAACTCCTGTAACTCTTTTACTAACTTATTTGGATCATAATCCAGAAACATATTATCCTCCAAGTCTTCATAGATATACCTTTTTAATCTCCTCTCAAGTATAAAAGTAGATGCACTACATTTTTCAACTACCGGTCTAATTTCCTTGTTTTCATTGTAGGTTTTTGCGAACGCAAATATTCTGGGTATTCGGGGGCAAGGGGTATGCGACTCTTTTAATAACGTCATGTGTTTTGCGAGCGATGTTTTTTCAAGCTTTTTAACCCTGTTGCTCGTTACCGTTACAATCTTTTCGTCTATGATGTCACATTCAGTTTTCTTAATATAGTCCTTAATGGCTTCATTATACCTTCCTCTTTCCATAATCACCATTTGCTTGGTTCTGTCAGCTTTTGTTAACACCAACTGATTTTTTGTTAGCCACTCTTTTGTATACTTTATATTTAATCCTTCTTTACATTCTACTTGGTGCCTTTCCTTTTTTCTGGATACCATCTTCCATCTAAAATAATTCCTTTCTACTTCATTAAGACCGGCCATTTTTCTTTCCATTTAAGCCATTGTAGTTTCCCAATCGCCATTGCTATTTAGAACTTTCCATAACTCAATGTCTGAAGTTTTTTCTTTGAAAATTCGAGTGACCGGTCTCCACTATATTATTATTATAATAGTTATGTGTGCGTTTATACATACAGTCGACCCACCTATAACACTGTTGATTTTTCCGTTTTACATGAATTCCATGTTGTACGAGTTACTTAAATTTAACAAATACGTGAGCCGTTCACAACCCGGCACACGTACAGTAGAGCGTCGATTTTTCGAATCAATTGGGGACTAAGGTTGTCCGGATAACTGATATTTCGGATAACTGATTTACGTACGAAAAATAGTTTAACATATCCAATCTCGAAATTTTTTTCCGTTGCGTGTCGCTTCGCGTTGAATTTTCGTCGATGTTAAGCCTAACGAAGACTATTGTATCGTTAAAAATTATTTTTTTATTTTGTACAAACAAAATAAATATATTGAAAAATATAAAAATAATAAAAAGTTATACTTCAGATGTTAATTTAGTATCAAAAACGTAAAATATTTGAGTAGCCCAAGACAAAGCCAAAGATTGAAGCGCCACAGCACTGGCGAAAATTTAAATTTGCGGACTGGAATTCTTTCGGATGATTGACGTTTCAGAAAAACGACGCTCTACTGTATTTGTAAAATTTAAGTGACTCATATATCAACATGGAATTCATATAAAACGGAAAAATCAACAGTGTTATAGGGGGTCGACTGTATATAACTATCATAAGTTTTTATTTTAAATAAAAAATATAATATTGTAAAAATACTCACATACTGAGAAAGAGACCTCCAATAACTGAAATGTATTTCAGTGTAGTGAGTTTGAACACTAGAAAATTGATTTTCTCTATGACAACCGATGTACTTGTTGTTATAGAAGAAACAGTTATGTTTGACTCTAACTAATCAAAATTTCGAAATTATAATGTACAATTTTAACTATATTTTATGTCACAATTTTTTTTAAGCCTAAAAGGCCACTTTTTCGTGTAAACAACAAATTATAGCGTTTAATACACACTTGTTTTTTCTTTAAAGTTTCATAAATTTCTAACATTAAAATCTAACCTTATAATATTATAAATTCATTATCGATCAAATTAGCGTAATTTTTAGAAAACAAGTGAAACCCATCTGATGTAAGGATATACTTACTTCAAAAAAGTCTTTACGCAGATAAAATCTGATGATATTAAATAGGCATTGTTTCAATGAAACAGGTCGACTTCTTGTAAATATTATTCGATTTTTAAGATACAATGTATTATTTCTTTACACCGTGCTAAGTTATTACCATAAAAAAGTGAAGTTGGTGGTAATTATAAATTGTTTACCATGAAATAAAAATAAAGTTCATATTATTGTGTTTTTTATATAGCCTACAGTATACGAAAACACAATAATACGAAAGCCGTTTTACAAATACATGAGCCGTTCACAGCCCGGCATACGTATTTGTAAAATCTAAGTAACTCGTACAACATGAAATTCATATAACACGGAATCATCTACACTGTTATAGTAGGGTCTACTGTACTCAATTATCCTTCTGATATAACAGATTTCATAAGCCATATAGATTTTACCGTGAAAAAAAATTTATGAACAACATTTACAACTTGAAAAATTACATAAATTTTGATATATTGTTTAAAAATACACGAATGTCTACGCACCACAACGAATTGTGGATTTATTGAGGTTTTATTTTTGATTCGAATTACATTTTTAAAGTGGAAAATACTGCAGTTATTTTAATCAAGAAAACATAACTATACTGTGATTTACTGAATTGTAATCCATACAAAAGTAATATTTTGACAGCTAGTAGTTTAAATATACAACCCAGATATTTTGTTTATCACAATTCTTTTCTTGAAAGTTCCTCTCAGAGCCGAATTTTCGATTGAAAAAAAAAGCTATCATAATAACTTAAGGAGGGAAAAAGCTAAAGATTAGGATTACTTAATAGATTCTATAAACCACTATTTGTTTTCCAGTCGTTAATATTTTTATTTATATCAACTGTCATTTTAAATATTTTAGAGTTTAGATTGATTAAGCTGTTTGTTTTTTGCTTATAATTTCTGTTCGTTTTAACACCCTTTACGGTAGGATTTAGGGTGACTTTGGAGTATATCAAGGTTAAGCCCATATATTTTTTCTTTATAAATACTAAGTGAATTATTGTAGCTTTCAATGAAAAAAGGAGCTATGATATATGTTATTCACAATTTATATTGTGTTTATTAATGAGATAGAAAAAAATTAAAGTTAAACCTGAAAGTTAGGAATAGGTTAGCGAGTGGAATTAAAAGCCAGTAGATTAAAGAATTCGGTAAAAAATAATTTTACTTAGGCTATTTTTAGATTTCGAATATAAGCTGTCAGAGGAACAAGAAGAAATTTTAATTATTAGATGACGTATTTACAGACACAATAACTTAGAGGTGATTAAAGGATGATAAGTTATACATTGACAAATAAAATAGCAATGTAAAATGGCAAGAGATCTGACAGTATTATTATTAACTAAATGATGAAAGTGATTAGTAATGATATAGAGCCTAAAAGAAAGATATGTTAGTAATGTTTTAGGCCTATATAAAGAAACCACAGGTATAGTAGGCTATCAATAAATCTTAACCTATATTCATTCATGTTCTATTTTTTCGCAGTAAAAACTGAAATTTTTAGTAACATTAATACCAAAAATGTTACTCAATATGCATGAAAAATTTCAGTTGTTCGAAGTTGCTGTTTTTTGGAAATGCTATCCTGATCTTTAAGTACTTTTGTAATTTAATACAATCAAAGTTACTGATTAAATATTAAAGTATCAATTAATTTCTTTTTATATTTTTAATTAGTAGCTTTAATAAATTTTCTGCATTGATTAGCAGTAATTTATTCACTTTCTTTAAGCTTTTTTCTGGATACACCGTGTACACTTATGTTTCTTAAGATCATTCGAAACAGCAATTAATCGTGATTTTGATTATATGTTTCGATTTGTGTCAAATTTTTTCGTGACGTCATTATTATTATTCATTATGCTTTTATAATTGTATTGCCTCGATAAACACGACATACTGAATAAACAGAAATAATTATAACTGATGTTCTTTAATTAAAAATATTGAATAAAATTCAACTTGTTTACGTTTATTTTCAAAGCTGAAAAATAGATCAATACCTCTAGATTATTTTAGCATAATTTACGTTACTATAAACATAATTTATTTTAAAATTTTATATTGTAATAATTGGTATATGCAAATTTTACACAATATTTCGATTTTATCACATCTGAAAATAGCAAGTTGATTAAAATTTTGAACAACAAATCAAATTTAAAGTCTTTGCTACAAAAGTTTTGCATAATTTACACTAATTTCGTCTTATAAAGGTTTTGTTTAAATACTTTAATGTCTAATAGGTAATTTCCGGAAGTTTTTTAATTAAGAGACTGCATTGTGAGAGGTAAATTGTAGAAGATTACTTTAAAAGACAATAGAACGTAGTAAAATTATAATTAAATCTGACAGAATCAAACGCTGATGTACAAAAACATCATAGATATTAATGAAGTTTCGTTGCTGAAAACAATGAAATTAATCAATATATCTTTGACGTATTTATTTAGGGTAATATTCAACAGATCATACAACATAGATACAAATACGGTTATCCTCGATCCGAACCTCGTAAACATCACATAGATTACCTTCTAGATAAAGCAACATTAATAAATTATACGTAAACGTGCCTGGTGCATTTTGCACCTAGTCAATACATGGTGTTTTATGCCGATTCGGGTGAGGCCATGTAAAAAATCTGGTAAACAGCTTTTTAACGTTCCCGGCAATATTTAAAATTGCGTGTATGGTGCCATTTGTTATGATATTTTATTTTAAAAACTTTTTATATTATTAGTTATTATAAAATGGCAAGAAACTTAATTTTGAAAAAAGGGATGTGTTTTATTAAGAGATTGTAAATGCTAATAACGAATAAAATCGTCATTAAGTCCTACTGTACTCAAAGAATGACAAACGAGTCCTCGCTATCTTTTCACTCCGTCGACCTATAACTGCCTAAAAATAAATATCATTGATCTCTCTGACACAGAAACCCTCATGCAAGATTTCAGAAATATTCAACAAAGGGCACAGGAGTTATGAAGCTTTAATCAGGGTGAACAAAATTGGGCTTTTCACACACACACACACACACACTAACATTCATACATACAAAAAAAACTCGAATTTTTTTCGCATTTCTGGATATTTCAAGGTCCTTTGATAATGAAAAAAATTACAACCCTTCGGAATCATTTATTGACTGGTCGCCATATTTTCACTCTGTTATATATAACAATCAGTGAGTTAAACTAAATAATAACTTTTTCCTTAACTAATAAATATCAGTACATAACCACTCTCATAAAACTCAAAAACTTAAGATTAATATTATATTGCATTACCTGAAATATTGTCTATATATATTTTATCGCTAACTTTGATTAATTTTAATTTGTTTGCAGACAAAATTTATCCACTAAGCATTTATTCCAATTTAGCTAACACACTGTTTGGAATAATAGTAATGGCTTAAAATGTCTCATCTGTTTGCAGAATGAAAAATACACATAAATTGTGAAGAAAATCGAAAGAAATGGACAATCATCTGCTGTTGAATTTCCCACTAACTTTAGACTATGAGCTGCACAAGATACATAAAATACAGTTTTACTGCTGCTCCTAATCTTTACTTGTAAACCGTTATATAACCCGCAAATATTGGTTGCATTGTCAACAGTTTTGAATATGTAGATCAGATTGCTTTAATTCTAAAATTACAATAGTTTTTATGTAACTAGCATAATGGTTTTTAATATGTATGAAAGATACGAATGGTTCCTGAATTTAATTTTCTTTTTCTGCGTATTTTAT